AGTTCTCACTTGGGAAGTCTTCTTCTGGGAACAATCGTCACTCTAAAAATGGTCCTGATCACTTATCGCCACACCTTTTTCTCTAGATTTTCTTATCTTGGTCACTATAAGCTTCTAGATGGACTCCCGGTCTACGAAACGACTTTTTACTTTTCTATCGCTTAGTGTGCTTTGATTCAGCCATATCAATACCAAAATTTCTTCTTCAAGTCTCTCTGACAGTGTCCCAATCAATTATTGATCGTTTTACCGTACCTGTCATCGCTACCGCTATGCGTCGACTGATATCATCCACCCTATCACCTGATCCCGATTAATTTCATAGTGTGCTCTGCCACATCGTGCTGACGACAAGCAACCATCGTGTAGAGAGCAAGCAGTTCGTTGGCCTGCGACGACTTCTGGAGAGAGCCGTATCATCCGAGTCGCTGCTGCCGCGTCGGTCACTATGAGCAGTCAAGCCACAGCCATCTCACCACCGCCACCGTTGGCAACTCAGCCACCCCTGCCGAGCAGCGGATCGTCGTCGGCATCGTCGTCGATCGGCCAGTTGGTCGGTAACGGCGGCGACGTGTACATGACACCAGCCACTGGTGGTGGCGCTATCAACGCTGGCGCCACAAGCGCCTCATCCGATGGTGGCGGTGATTCTGGCGAGGAGATGGGACCTTTGTCACGAGATCGTTGCAACACATGGCCAATGAGACGACCACAGTTGGACGGGAATGCGCAGACGAGTCCGTTGATACATGAACAGATACCGGAGGAAGACGGAGAGTAAGTGTAAAGAGTGGTCTTGTTGCGATTTTCCCGACCTTTAACTGGGCAGTCGTCCAAGGGCATCTGAATGAAGCAGTGTTGTTCATTTTATCAGGGCAAGGTCCGGTCGCTGAAACTTAGACGCATCCTTGCTGAACAAAGAACTAAAGATTTGTGCATCAGAATGAAAGAAAGCAATTGTGAGACTCATTTAGCTGCCGGAAATCGGAATTCGTATTTCGGAACTCCTTGGCCTTCTATAGACTTCTTTTTCGTGCTCTATCTCGTGTTAATAAATTTTCGGAATGTTTGCAAACATTTTTCCTCCTGAGCTTATAGTTTTGAGCGCATCCTGTTCCGATTTCCGACTTCCGAAATTGGTATTTCCGAATTCCGAAATGCTTTAGTGTGATAAACTAGGCTGTTGCCAATATACTCTTAGCATTAGAGTTTGGTTGTTTAAGCGGTGCTTGTAAAACATTCTTGCTCAGCAGAGAGCCTAGCTCATTCGATAGGAGCCACGCCCAGTCCAGGATGTTCTTTATTAGACCTTAACTCTACCTAATCACCTCGCCTCAATCACTAGTGTAAATACGAAATTTAGTAGGTAATTTTTGAACAATTTCGATTTCGGTAACCGCGTTTGCATTCTGATGCGCGAAAGCACCATACTAATCTGGTTATAAAATGCGAACCGTGAGTGTGAGTTGTTGATATCACAATAATTTCAGCAGCGAAGTGAGTAACTGCCGCGTCTTGTGCCCATGCCATCAGCCCGACTGAGGAGGAGGCCTTCTCTCGCGTCCGTGGTAGTGTGGCGGTAAACATTTTATAGGGAGCTGATAACGGTCCGTCCGCTGGGGAAGTAGTGTAACGTGAGGTAGCCTCGACGGAGGGTGGGCCATGCCGGTTTCCTTTTCGAGTCCCATCGCTCCGTTGAGGCAAGCGACGCAGGGTAGGGACATTTCTCCATAAATCGCTATTGAGGGACGAGGCCTATACTGAGGGATGGTGTAGAGACACGGCAAGTTTGCTATGTTAGAAGGTCGAAGTCGTTTCGTTCAGAGCTTTGCTTGTCAATTCAAAGGTGCTCGGTACCTATTATACTTTATTTTTTATAGTTTTGACTAATTTTTGTCGTTTTCTATGCGCTGTCATTTTCAGGCTCTACGACAGCGCAGAAAACCTGAACGGCAGACTGGGTGCGGGAATAATCGCGGCCATGGCAACGGGCCTTGCACTGCACAGCCACGCACGGATGGCAACGAACAGCCTTCTCAGCCTGGGTGCGCACATCTTCCAATTATTTCAATCCAAATACTAATGTCCAATGTTCGATTTTCAGACGCTGCAATCATGTCATCGCCGGTAATGAGGATGATCCAGGAACGGTGGTCCAAGGCAGGCCGTGAGAACGACACTTATCGCACGGAGACGGCGATGGTGTGCGGTGGTGCGCCAGGCGGTCGTTGATGGAAGAACGTACGACCCACACAAGCCCAGGAATGCTTGGGGCAAATCTCACCGTTATGGATCTGATCACCCGCAGGCTTTATGCGAAAGCCCTGAAAAACGATTGACCGCTTTCACAAGCGGTGGACGGGCGTACATCCAGTTTTTTCTTGAATTTTCAATGATTCTTCCTTTTGGTGACGCAGTGCCGTGTTTGGGGGTGAGCTCCGGCCATTCACTGAACGAGGAAGTTGTCGTGGTTGTCGTTGCCGTCGTGTCGAACAGCAAAACAAACGCGGTTCGAGCGTGTATTATAGCGCTATAATTGCATCCAAACCCATGAGGGTGGGGTCATACCTTGCCGATCAATAGTTATAACGTATATAGTATTATGTAGTATTCCCAAATGAATCCAGGAAATTATGTACAAGAGGTAGGTGTTTCAAGCCAACAGCTCGCTGCTGACATCCGTCCTGGAGAGGTGGAACGCGGTGTGGCCCGGACGTAGGGATGTATGAGACGCGCATCGCTATAGCAGTCGGATACAGACACGTATGTGATGAGAGGAGATGAAGGCCGAATTGATCTTATCAAATGTCGGAACCCGGGACGACGATGTAGGGACGTTTCTCTACGCGCGCTAGCGACAACGCAGGGGTCATGTTAAGGGAAGAAAAAGTCTTCCTTCCATTTTGGATGGGTAGTTAGGTTATGAGGGGAGGAGTGATTAAAGTGGGTGGGTGCATCGTAGAATTTGTAACTAACTATAAAAGTGAGCCGAAAAAAGAAAGGAGCAGCGGGAGGGGGGGGGGCGTTTACAAAATCTAATTACAAGTTATGTAGTAGATGTATCTGTTCTTAAGCTGGCTTATTCACAAGCTTCCGCTTCCTTAACCCTGGCTTACTTCAAACTTCATCTGGACAATGTCTGCAGGCAGGAGTTTTTGCACCGCCGTTACATGTTATACCGCAATAGCAAGAACACCGAAGCATTGAGCAGTACAGGAAGCTGGCCTACCGCGGCAAGAGATTTTTTCTCACCCTTACCTTGTGCCCTATTGGTAAAAAGGTTTCCGGAAATAGGAATTGCGCGGGTTAAAAAGAAGGTTTCACGCAAAAGACAGGCGGCCATTGTAGCTGAGGTGGTTCCCTACGTCGGAGATCACAACAAGGATAAGGCGGCACATTAGAGCCCTGTATGGACAATGTTTTGTTTTCAACATAAGTGTTAAAGATGAATATTGATTACTTCGCGCGCGAAGTAATTGTTGCAACTCAAGTATGTATCTCCATATGATAGGCTTGGATGCAAAGAAAGGCTAGAGCTAGTGTGGGAGTAAGAATGAATGAGCTAGCGGTCTCTTGGGATGACCGTTTCCTTTCTTTTTCCCAGTAGTAGCTGCGGCGTTTAGTCTTGATTTTATGTACCCGGCTTCGTAAGGTTCTTCATTCACCAGCACTAACACATTTTTCCTCTTTTACCGTAACACACTCAAAATGTCCCCTTCTCAATCTTTTTGTTTTCTCCTTTTCTTTTTTTTCATTCAATATTTTTTATCAAGACTTTTGCTTGTGTTTCTTTTCCTTACTATGTGCTAATTTGTGCGAAAATTGTACGTTGAGCCTTGTTCCGTGGATATTTTTCGATTTTCTACGTGCGAATGATTTTCCCAGTTAACGGAAGCAATCGATCTCTATCAAATGAATGGGCTCGTGAAAAAATAGCGGAAAAATCTGTTCGTTTTTTGGACGGCTATTCATCCAACAGGCGGTGCTTGCTGATTAATCTGTATCTGCGGAATCGAATGTTGCCTTTGATTTTATCACAATAAAAGTCGATTACCAAATGACATTGCGAGTTCACGTCGTTCATGATCGCTTAGCGCTTGAACAGCTGCTCGCAGAAAATTCTTCTCTTCTTTCTCTTAACGTTTTGCACTGAACAGCTGCTGTTCACAGCGTGAAGCTCTCGTTTTTTCTCGTTTTTTTTTGTTCGAGAACAGAGCAAAAAGACGGGGATGGAATTATCACACGGTGATCTCGGCATCGCTGAACTCACCAACTGATAGGCTTTCTTGATCGGAAAATCAGACTCTTTGAGGGGATTGCAATTCATTTGAAATGAGAGGATGTGTGAAAATAGATAAATCTGTCGATTTATTCAGAGCATTCAGTGAACTTGTGGTGACATTTTTCAAACTTTCCTTGCTCGATAATTATTTTCGTTATGTTTGTTTATCATTGGTCAATCACTGTTTTAAAGAGCACGAATGGATTAGCTTTTCTTTTAAACTCATTTATTGAATCTCTTTCAAAGCTCAAATATGTTTTTCTTTTTTTTATTCACTATGCTTTCATTTATATGGAATAAGCTGTAATATATTCACGGCAGGCCTCATATGACCACAAAACGTGAAACCTCTGCGGATTCCAGAAAGTCGACTTGGGAGTACCAGAAAATTGAGTTTGCCCTTTTTCGGAAAACGAGAAGAGCGTCGAGTGCGTACCACACACCATCAGTGACGATCTCCAAGAAAGCCACTTTTTCTCGGTCGTCGTCAGTTGTGGTGTGCAGACTTCACTTGACGCTCTTGGTGGTCACTGGATAGACGGTAATTTTTACCACTGGTCCTTTGGAAATGTTAGGTGAAATCCGGTCCCCACCGAGCTTCTGTAACAATTTTTAGGCCAGATATTTGTAGGCAATTCATGTTATAGTATGGATTTGCATTGCAGCGTTGAGTGTGGGGAACACATGAAAATCAGAGTATCGATTGATTCAGAAAACGTCGATGGTTGACGCTCGTCATTTCTTTCTTTCGTGAAATTTTTAATTTCATCACTTGAGAAATGGTGTCATTTTACTGGTCTTGTTTTACAGTATAATTTCGCAGAAGAAAGCCTCCCCTCCCGCCTTTTTCCGGTCCATTGCTTTTGATTATATGTATTGAGAGGGTAAAAAGTAAAGTATTATTCGAGATCCAATTCGTGTTTACGTTGTAATTCGTGGTTATTTCCTAATGAAATGCCGGTTGACAAGCAAACAACTTGCGTGGACTAGAATCCGCACCTCTCGCTTTTTTTCTTATTCAAAGAACATATTCAAAAGCAATAGTGCTGGTTTCTTAGTCTCGCTCTGGGTGAATAGATTTGTTCCACACCCAGCATTTTCTTGTTGTGAAACCACTTCGCAAGGCGAACTGCGTGGCCAAAAACATGCATTTATTAATCTAAAACAGTCAAAAGAGGTACTTGTGATTATTCAGTGAGGCCACATCTACCTACCTTAACAACTGCTAGAGCTGACGGCGGCGCTTCTTCTGATTTTAATCTGTTGGGCTGGAGCACAATATCGTAGCGCCTGCATTTTTCTTTTCTTCACACAAGCAAAAGAAGTGAGAAAAGCAGCAAATTTTTTGGAGCCAAAAACAAAAGCACAAAATTAATCAGTGATCATCACTTTGTCATTATTTACAACTTGGATTGCAATTTCGCGGGAAGATCACCGGATAAGGAATTTAAAGAAATATTTAGCTCGTTTTCGGAGTCCTTACTATTCTCAATTTGTACGAAATAAATATAGTTCAATAAATGCGGGGTCGTTCACCACAAAGGTTTCGATTCAGACAGTGGTTTCAAAAAAAAACTCCTACCATTGGCTCATTTTATTCTGAACTTTCCAACCCAAGAGCAGCCGCCCCCCTCCCCCCCCCCCCCCCCTCTGTTCGAAATGCGATATTTTCGCTTTCTAATTTTCTCAATACTTTTAAAGGCTCTACACCTAGGTATCAAGCTACAATTTTGAAGACCCACTGACAACCCTCACGGCTTGGAGAGCGAGCAAAAGATACTTTCAAATATAAATCTAATGCTCTGGTTTTCCGACACCCCTGGTCTTGTACCTGCTTAAATTTATTACGCCCTCGAAAACTGTATTTTATGCCATTCTCGAGCCAATAATATTAATTCTAACAACGTACCAGCCTTGGCACAGGTGCTTGAATAATTTCGGCTAATTCCGAAACTATTGTTTTTCCGTGTCTCTATATTTACCGTCTGCAGTGAAATCTTGCAGATTCAGTCCCCAGAATTCAGTTCTCTTTGATATCCTCGTTACTTCTGTGGCAAGCCAACTTATGGTTTATTCTGTGTAGAATTGTCTTTGTTTAAATTTCGAAGCCGCCATGTCGATTAATGTTTTCATTAGCTACAAGGCCAACGCGTCTGAAATCCAATCAATTATCTATTTTTCAGTTCTAGTTTGATATTGGATTCGTCATTTGAATGTGCCAGTATCTTTCCGCCCGACATTAGGCGATTCAACAGTTCGGCTGGTTGGAAGGTCAGTTAGCCTTTCCTAGATCTAATTCTAGTTCTAGTAAATATCCCATTTTTATTTAAGAAAGTCAGCTTTTTTCCACTTTTACTAATCCGACCTATGGGAGCTTACTGTCTCGTTGATATGTCTTTGGGATATTTACTCTGCTTTGTTTGCTTGGTTCTTTTTCTGCAGCGAGGTGACGAAATTCCTGTCTGATCTCTCCCTCATTCTGTGTTCTTTGTGATTGCTGATTTTTGTTCTGTTTTTCCTACAACACAATAATCCGGGGACAAACTGCAGAGAGGTAAGCTGCTCCATCCACACACGAGGCAGAGAAGTAGTGAGTGGGTATATCGAGAAAAGGAGCGAGCGAGAAGGTAGCTTGTCGAAAGAAATACGACAGAGAACCTGTCTAGTTTTTATTTACTTGTTTTTGCATATGGTTGCCGGCGTCTTTGTTCCGGGGGGTGGTAGTGCTAGATGACTCCATCGCTTGTCCCTCGGTGCTTCTCGAGTTAGCTGACGAACAACTGGTATCGAGTTTATGTATGGTTCACCCGTGGTCCTAAAAAGGTCTGGTCCAGGGGTTGCATCGAAAGTGGGTGAAATTCGACAGAGTTTTCTTCTTGCGACGATATTTTTAAAAGAACCTCTTATAAGTCTCCTATTGCCCTTATTAATTCCTTGTTGCCAGGCATAG